TAGTTTCCTTCCGTGCATAGACCAGACCCAGTGACTTCCTGTTAGCCAATAGGATATGGCAAAAGCAAAGAAACATCACTCCTGAGGTTAGGTTGTAACGCTTCTGAGGCTCTCTGACTCGCCTTTAAGCATGCACTAAATGTGAACTGTCCTGTGGAGAGGCACATAGGCCTAGCCGCCGTGAGAAACGGAATCGTGGCCTACTAGTTAAGCTTCTTAAGAAACTCATTTTGCCAACCACCAGTCAGTGAGTGAACTTGAAAGTAGTAGTGGAGGCTTTAAATGGGTTACTGGTCACAGAAACTGTGTAGTTTGGACTGGGGGGGGGGTAATTTGTCACATAACAATAGATAACCAATACTTATAGCTAAACTCAGTCAGTTATAAGATGAAAGAAGACAACCCAGGGGTGTGGTTACAAGAATAGTAATTATATGAATTCTTCACACATATTTACAAGCAATTTACCAAAGATAAACTTTTTGTATACTTTTGGAGTCTAAGATAGAACTAAAATATTTAGTTTTTTTTTTTTTTTTATAGGGTGCGTGTACTTGCCAGAAAGAGAGACAGAGACAGTGAGAGGGAAAGTGAGAAATCATCCCCCAGGGGGATGGCCACGGTGCAATCCCTTCTCTTCTTGGGATTTGGGGAACATACACACAAGTGCCCAATGTGATTTTCAAGCCTCCAGGTTTGGGACTTCAACTGTGGTTGGTCGTATGGAAGTCCAGCACTTTAACCACTACACTCTTGCTGGCCCCACATGGAATTAATTTCTACTTCAACATTTATTTATTCTCGGGACCAGCAGTTAGCATAAGTGCTATGTCGCTGGACTCACATGTAGTTGACTGTGGTTCGAGTCCTGGACCTGGTGGCTTAAACTCACACAGGGCGTGTGTGCGTGCGTGCCCAAGATCCCAAGAGGAGAAAGGAGGAGAAGGGATTGCGACGTGGCCATCCCCCCTTGGGGGTGATTTCCGGCTTTATGTCTCTTTGTCTCTCTCTGACTTTCTGGCAAGCGCACATGCCCTATAGCAAAAACCTCTCCAAAAAAAAAAATTTTATTTGTTCTCTGTGGCAAGTACTGGTTATACGATAATGAACAGGACAGAGGCTATGTTCTTGCCCTCAAGGACAAGTTTGTGGCAGGGGAGGGAGAAATGGGCAAAGATGTGAATTCAGTAATGCCTTCTTTACTTATTTGTTTACAGTTGGGATAAGCAGTATGAAGGGAGAGTGCATATAACTTAGTCTGACTTGGTCAGAGAAAACTTTTTTGAGGAAGCAACATTTACACTAAAGAGGCTGGTGGAAAAGAAGGAAGGGAAAGGGAAAATTCCAGGCAGATCAGTATTCTTTCCCTTCTTTTTCTTTCTGCTAGAGAGCTCTGGCGCATTCACCAGAGAGAGACAGAGAGTGAGGAAGAGGAGGGATTAGAACGTTGGTTGGCCATATGGGATCTGGCTTCCAAGGCACAGACGTTAACCACTGGGCTAGGGAGCTGGCCTGGAACAAGATTTTCTAAATGAATTAATAATGATTAAAACTAGGTGATGGGCACAGGAGGGTTCATTTTACTCATCTCTATTTTTATATACGCTGGAATTTTCCATCAGAAAACTTTTCACCATTGCACCGAGACAACAGAAAGCTGTGTGAACGTATTTGAGAGGTTGCAGCCCTTAGCTCCCGTGCTCCATACCGGACAGTAGACGTCAACGACATCTTTAGGGCAAGGGGGTCGGAATGAATTCTTTGGTATAGAAAATGTAAAGGCTCCTCAGTTTCAAATCATGTGGCTAACATAAAATGGGGTGTCTGGGTGATTTACATTGCCTCCCGGGGCGAAGGGCTGGATTGCATTCTTTTTCATGCTCATTTTTCACTAGCTAGTTGGTATGTTTCATACAGAGTGGAATCTTATAACACGATTCGCCCTGGAGTCGAAGCCAGTGGAAGGACCCTGTTCAAGTATTAGTTACTGAAGCACTGAAAGGATTTTGTTCTAAGGCCTTCTGTAACTAGAGTGTGTTTATAGGTTGGAGAAGGAGAAAACTAGCATAAAACAGAGGAAATCTTCTCTTCTTTGGAAAATTCTTGGTTGGCTTGCTTTGATAATAATGGTGCATGAATTTCTTTGGCTAAGCTTTCTCTTCCTTTTACTCATGCTATTCTGAGGCAGGTTAGACTGTGAAATTAACAGCAGGGATCGCTTGGATTCTGGAAGTCGGGCATGGTGGGAGAGGGCACTGAGGAGGGAGCTGAAGAGATGATACTTCATGTTTGCAACTGCTCCAATGTTAGGTTAATAGAGGAACCACATTTTGTGATTTTGATTCAGACCTTTCTTGGAAATACCTTTGCTTCCAAATTGAATCTCTCCCAACCCCTAATACATGAAGATTTCACTAGAGTCAGATATATGCAAATTAGATTTCTCTTCTCAAGCCAAGGTTAAATAAAAGGGAAAATTATGAAAGATTGCTTATGGCAGCAGAGATTATAAGTGCTTGAATTTGGTTATTTCAAAACCACAACGAGTGCAAAGCCGGAAAGGGATAAAGGACAGAGTGAACCTGGGCATAAACATGCTCCCACACAGCATCCAGGCGGAAGGCTTTGTTGTTCCTGAACCTTGGTAATTACAGGCGTTTTCTCCTGCTCTGAAAAACATTTGGCAAAGGAGAGCGTGTCCCCCCCCTTTCCTGTGTCCAAGGCTGGGTACTGGCCTTGTTGCAAGGGAACACTTATTCCCAGCAGTGCTTCCTGGGAGCAAATGGTTTGTTTTCTCTTCTCTGAATCCAGCCTGGGGTTGGTTTTCAGCAGCAGAGCAGGGCTGGAAAATCTCTGTGGAGCAACTTGTCCCCGGGAGGTAAGATTGTGAAGGGGAGCAGGTGCCACCATCTGGGTCAGGCACACCTGCCTGGGGCCAGGGCAGACATCAACAAGCAAAGGCAAACAGGAATGCTTTTTGGATGCTCTTACCACATGTACCACACCCACCCACCCCACCCACATACACCATGTATGTTCTACGCGCCGGGCACACGTGCCACACTGCCAGCACACACCACGTCCACACTCGACATAACGAATCATATGCATGCACGCCATGTACACACACACACATCCAACTGCACACATACTGCATACAACTCACCACAGTTCACATTAGTCATACACATCAATCCACATGTATAAACACATCTCACTGGACAGCCATGTACACGACATCCGGTGACCGTGTAGGTGCCTAACAACACACAACTACACACACGCGCAACGCACAGGTCAAGCAGGCCTAAGTGTAAACACACACATTCCCCAGTGCACCTTCCTGCTCAGCAGAGGGGCTGCAGCCCTGACCAAGCCAGGGACAGGCTGGCACGGGAAGGGACAGGCCCACCACGCTTGCCTGCCGGGCGCCGGGGGGTTTGGGGCGGGGCGGGCAGGGGCTGGCAGCGCTCGGGGCGGAGCGCGAGGCAGTCCCCAGGGGTGTGCGCGCCTCCCCGGGGGCTTGGCGCCGACACTCGGGACATTGCGACGCGCGTGGGGCCAGGCTGTTGTGTGAGACGACCACGCTCGCAGGGCCGGGTGGGCGTGGCCTGGTGTGCAAGCCCTCCAGGGAGTGTATGGAGTGTGTCTCGAGACGACCTGGCTCGGAGGCGAGCGTGGAGGAAGTGCGCGTGTAAGCGGGTGTGCGTGGCCTCCCCGGCGGCCGAGCCGTGCGTGCGTGCGCGCAGAGTGAGTGTGCGGGAGGG